TTCAAACCCACCAGCCACTCCTCGGAAGGAAGGTTGGGCAATCTACTTCCATAGTGATACTGCCTCAGAAACCCAAGGAGGGGTCGTTATGAGTCGGGTCCAACTCCACGGCACATAACAACAACTTTTCAAAAATCAGTTTTCCCTTATTAGCCATCTACTCTTGATTCTGATTTGTGTATTTTTTCCACTGCCTTCAGATTACCTTTCAGGACCATTATGCTGCATGAAGTGCTCCGGAAGCTGTCAGGGCTAGGAAAATGTCCTTTGTTGTTTATAAGCAGAGATCCTAAACCTCTGGTCCTAGTCCTGGCAGCTACCAGACCAAAAGCACTTTGCTCTCATTCTGTCTTGTTGTGTGCAGCCTCACTCAACCCTGATGGCAGCAGCTGCCCAGGATGTGACTGCAGTCTATCCCCAAGTACCTTAAAGGTCTAAAATTAGCTGTCACCTGATAAGCTTTGTCTCTTTATGTGCATCTGTAGCTTTCCCAGATCCTCCTTCCAAAGAAAGATAAGTCAAGGTAGCTTTAAAACCTGGCAGCTCAAGGTGACTTCCATGGTCCTTAGCGTGGTGGGAGTTCTGCCCCTCTTCCTACCGGAGGGCCCTGCTGCTGCGTGTCTGCACCTTGAGCTCCAGTTGTGATGGTTTGAGGTGCTGAGAGAAACACTCATATCCTGAGGTCCAAAAGGATGAAAAAGACTATGATTTAAGAGCTGATGAAACTCAACTAAAGCAAAAAAGAGGAAGATGATTTTTTTTTTTTTTCTTCTCATAAGAACAGTAGATCGGGTGTTTTGAAGCATTTCGAAAAATGTTAAACATTTCCTGGCAAGGAGAATTGTTAGTGCTGACAAAGTTTTCATTGGAGAAAAGTTGTGGAATTTCTTTTTCTGGGGAAGATTTTATTCTTGAAACCAAAATAGAGTTTCAGTTGTTAGATTCTTTTTTAAGGACCTTCCTGCTTAGAGGCAGATATATAAGCTTCTCTAAATTTCCCTCAATCCTGTGATTCACACATCCTTCTTTATTGGTGAGCTCCACCAGCCCAAATGAGAAAGAAGAAAAATGCACAATGTATACAGTTAATTTAATGTAAAATTAGTTAAATTAAATGTTAGTTAGTTAAATGTAAATGTGTACAGTTAATTTTACCACATTCTTCACCATCCATCTGAAATTTCACCAGGTCCCTGGATGGGATGAGGCTGTTGGTACAGATTTAAAATGACCCGTCTTTGTTCCTAGCGCTGCCAGGCACAGTCACCTGTGCCTTCAAGTCCTTGGTCTCAGACATTGTGAGGTGAACTAGCTAAGCATTCTTCCTTTTCGTTTCGGCCACAGGGAAGGTAGAGTTGTGTCGAGGACTGCGGGCCGTGTACCACAACATGCCTCTAATGTGGAAACCAGGGTATCTCAACAGAGCCCTTCAAGTGATGGAGAAAGTGGCTTCCTCCCCAGAAGACTTAAAGCTCTGTAGAGAAGCGGTATGTTCCTCAGGTCTCCATCAGTGGGTTTTACTCGTCTCCCATTCTTCATGATAAATCAAGCTTTGGATTTGTTTTCACTATCTTTTTCCCTCCCCCTACTTTCTACATTTCAATAGAATATGTATTTATGCAACTTGAAAAGGAAAGAAAAAACAAAAAACTTTCAGTGTTCCTGACAAAAAGCAATAGAAAATGAAGTTCATCTTGATTTTATAGTTTATTGTCTAAGAGGATAGCTATTCTACCCACCCTGAAATTAAGGCTGAGTTCAACAAAATACTGCCCATTCCATAGTCCCTTTTCTCCCCCAAAAAAACTTCTCAAGGCGAGCTCAAGAGAGTGTAAAATTTTGTGTTAAACACTTTTCTGGGCTCCTGTACCCTCATATAGTCTTGATTGACTACATAGTGGTTCTTTTCCCCAAAAAGCCCTCAAAAAATGAATCTAGGAACTGGAGATGGCACAGTCTTATTTACCTTCCATTAAACTGTTCTGTGCTAAATGCATGGTGCTGAAGAGACCTGGATCTGATGTTCCTTTCAAAGTTCTTAGGTGTCCACTTGGCCTGGGCTAGGAAAGTGTTCTTCCACCAGCCCCAAAGCTCACCCATCTTAGTCACCTAGGGCTCGTGGAATTATGAAGTTCCTAGACTTAGCCACTCCTCGGAAGGAAGGTTGGGCAATCTACTTCTGTAGTGATACTGCCTCGACAACCCAAGGAGGAGGGGTCACTATGAGTCGGGGCCGACTTGACAGCACACAACAACAACAGACTTAGTTCAGACTATAGGGAATGTGGCATCTCACAGCCACATAACAAGCATTACACTCTATAGGAAGTCATAGTGTCTGTTTCCATCCCGGCAACTTTTATAGCCAGAGTGATGCCTAGAAAGACATTGGTGGTTCTATTAAAAACCAAACTCACTGCCATTGAGTCAGTCCCGACTCATAGCAACCCCTCCTTGGGTTTCTGAAGTGGTATCTCTATGGAAGTAGATTGTCCAGCCTTCCTTCCGAGGAGTGGCTGGTGGGTTTGAAGCGTCAGCCTCCTGGTTAGCAATCAAGTACCTTAGGCACTACGCTACCAGAGCTGGAAAGTTTAACCCTGAGCTGCTTATTTATTTCATCTTAACCCTGATCACTAGCACCCCCTGGCTTTCATTTTAATCAGGATGTGCACAAGTCTGGTGCCTATACCAGTGCCTCTTAACCATTGTCTAGTAAGTCATTAGGAGCTCTGGTGGCATAGTGCCTCAGGCACTTGACTGGTAACCAGAAGGCTGGCGGTTCAAACCCACCAGCCACTCCTCGGAAGGAAGGTTGGGCAATCTACTTCCATAATGATACTGCCTCAGAAACCCAAGGAGAGGTCACTGTGAGTCGGGGCCGACTTGACAGCACATAACAACAACAACAACAGTAAGTCATTAGTTTTTTGCAGACGCATGTTTCTAAATGTATATTCATGTTTTATCCTTGCTTTAGTGATTTAGTCAGTGCTAGTGACTGAAAACAAAATTATATAAACATATTCACTTATCAATTGTTTTGTTATTTAGCATTTTGCATTTACAACTATGGTAGTTAAGGTTGTGTGTTGACTTGGCTGGGCCTGGTTTTGAGTGGCTAGGCAGCTGGGTATAGTGATGCCCCATGATGAGACTGGTCATCAACACCATGGTGGAATCTGCTGTGAGCAGCTGAGTAGCTGCCTTAAGGATATGGTCACTTCCAGTGTATAAGAAGCTTTGAGAAAGATCTCTGAGTTTTTGGCACATTGAAATCCTGCATTTGGCTGAGTCTTCATCTCAGTGGCCTGCTGTGTTGCCTGCCAATCTTGGGACTATTTTTGGAGGACTTGAACCAGTGACCTGCCATGTTGCTTGCTAATCTTGGGATTGTGCCATTTTATTTGTCAACCTTGGGTTTGTCAGCCTCAGTAGCCAGCAGCTGCCTGAGTTAAGACATGCCTCCAGCTCTCAGGCCCTAGAGCCAGCACTTTGAACTCAAATTTCTAGCCTCCTAAACTGTAGGAAAATAAATCCCTGTTTGTTAAAGCCATCCACTTGTGATGTATCTGTTATAGCAGCACTAGAGACCCAGAATAATAGTAAAAAATCTGCTATCAGGGCATTAAGTTTATGCTAATGGTGGTGGGATGTTTTGGAAAAGAATAGCAGTAATGGTGGCACCACATGAAAAAATGTCATCAGGAAGATGGAGGAATAGGCGGACAAGTGACACAGACCCTCTTCAGCAAAGAAA